ATTTGAAATGGGAATGATAATTATATCAATAATAATAATTTTAATGATAATAACAATGAATAATAATCAACTAATAATTATACGTAATAATAAAACCAACTTTGTAATCAAGACACGCAAGATTCACTTCAATATCAGGATCATCAGGTGCGTATTGCTCGACCAGAACCCTAGCATTATTGATGTCCTCTTCACGATATTTAATCGCAGCTTCTAGCTTAACCACCTGTCCGAGTAACTGCTCATCTTCTATCTGTATCATTGTTATCGTTATCAGTATGGTTCTTAGCACCGTGGTTATCAAATGCAATCCCATTCAATATCATAATTACTTTGTAAGACAAATGCCGTATACAATTAGATTAGTAATCATTATGTATGGATTGATGAAGTATTGACTATTTATTGCTATTCCTTAAAATTTATCATATTATTCTAGTAAAGAGCTACGTGATTCACAACACCGATCTGATCAACTGATCAAAATTGGTTATCTGCAAAGCTATGCAGTTCAATCTCATATTGTGATGTCTATACAATACTAGATGTAGGTGATAATTATAACGAATCTAAACCTGCGAAACGACATTGAGAGCTTCCTGGAACATGAAAGCATTGTAAAGAGCTTGTGCGTAATACAGTCGGTATTCTGCGTGATTCGGATGATGTTTCGTCAATTGCTCGTAGCATTCGGCTGCTAACGCATAGTCTTGCGTATAGAAGTAGCAATAGCCGAGCAGAGACAACGCGGCACGACTCTGCAATTCACCTGTTATCATTACTATCATCATTATCATTATTGTCATCATTACAACTAAAAATATCATTGGTATCATCATTATTACTGTTATCGCTAATAACGTTATTCAACAAAATCATCACTGTTATTATGATCGTCACGTATACTGGGGTTCCCGATAGGGGAGAATTTACTCACTTTTGGGTAATTTGGGGGTGTCGGGGGANTAAATCATTGTAGCAAGAGGGAGTAATGACGGCGTGCCAGACCATCGGAAGGGGTAATGGAACACCAGCGTCCGAGCGTGAGTACTACTGACTCATATTGTTACCTTGTCATGATATTATCAGTTTAATTATCACGACCAGCATCATAATATGGACTCACATTTGGCGTTCTTTGCAATTCATAATTCAAAATACGCATAGCATCTGTGTAACGATGTTCTTTAATCTGAAATGAAACATTTCAATTGGGTATTTCATTATTCAGTATACTGAAAAATGATTAAAACATTGCAGTTTTCGAATCGTTGAACATTTCTTAAGTTCTCTTAATTGATGAAGATACCCAATAGTAACTAATGAATAGTCAATATGATCTACATCAGCTGATTTTGATCAAAATAATGACCAAATTGTGAAGATCTATGATATTCTCGATATTCTATGTCTCAGCAACAAATAAATGCCATATTTCTCTCAATAATTCTCCTTAATGATAAGATTCTTCCGGGAAACTTGAGAGATTTATATCTAATCTTCAACAGATCTCTTAATTCCCTGAACAGATCACTCATAAAATAGAGTTCCCGGAGAAAATCAGTCCTATGTATGGAATATTTATTCACTCGAGAATTGAAAAATAAGAATGTTTGCAAACCATCGTGTAGATTGTACTCGTGAATTCACCATCCTTAAGTGGAACGAACGACATCCTCTTACTTATGGTCTATTCTGACTCTAAAATGAAAAATTCTTGAACGACATTTTCGAATAAATCCGATCAAAATTCGTGAAAATCCATCGAAAATCCCTATCCGAAAGTTTGGAAACAAGTGAAATATGAACAAGTCTGCATGAAATGAATGTTTTAGATTGAGATTTGCACAAGCTATTATAGATCAACCGATTCGTTACTATGGTTACTATTGCATAAGGGATAAACAGATGTCTCAATGAATTGTGCGATTTCGTATGTTGTGCTGCTTCATGACAAGTGCACTTATTCAGTCGTTTTCGGATTGACCAGCTTTCTTTCAGATATTCTAAGTTCCTACATAATTACTGCAATCAATTCAAATTATATGACGATCCAAACCTTCTAAAGCCCTGACTACCCTACCTCCAAATTGCTACATAGAATTCACTATCACAACAAAAATTGATACCCAAAAACTATTATTATTCCTACTTATTCCTATAATTACGTGCGATTATTGAGTAACATTAAACATTTCAGTGATAAATTTTATTCATACTCATATATTGTACACAATAATCAAAACACATTTACATCAATGAGAATAAATGAAAAACAAGATAACAAATAATACATCAGCCGTTCCAATATACATACAAAAATGGTACAAAAGCAAAAAAAATGAAATAAGTTAAAAAATTAAACACTAAATACACATTTGAATATGCTAGGCATATGTGAGGAATCGAGGAGAATTTGTAAAGGGGGAATTTTTGTAAAATTATCGACACAGACACGTTTTTAATAAATTTATTAATGATGAAATCAATCATGTCAGTACCGCCTGATCCTCCAAGTCAAACGAAAAATGAGTTCAAANACGGTCGTTTCACTTATCATCACTGTTAACACCGTTATTGTCATCCTTACTGATAATACTATCACTAGTAATATAAGTAAGATATACCTATCTAACTTTACATTCTAGCAACTGAATACTACATGAACAACAACATATAAAGACAATGAATTAAAATCATGGTACCAAACAAAACATACTCGACAGTAGTGCTCAAATAAGTAGGGAAGTGACACGAGGTGAATTGTGAATACAAATAAAAACGGAAAGCGCAATAACAATGATATATTCTCGATAAATAACGAATACATTCATTAATCAAACAAAACTTCACTACTACATTGAATAAGCTCGTTCAAAAAATCTCAGTTTAACATTCTCTAAAACCTTCAATTACCAGAATTAATCAAATATGCAATATACGCTTTTCATTGGCATTCGTCAGGAAATTTTCGGAAACTCTACACGAATGAATTCAATTTTCCATTCCTACGAATATTTTTCATCCAAAACTATTACACCATTTGTACTCACGAAAAATTCATTTGAACGCTATACAAACACCTCGTTCCATTAGAAAGAATTTTCAGTTTTGTTTGTACTCAGTTCAAAATTATGGAAATATTAAATAAAAATGGAACAAAACAACGAAAAATCACATTGCAAACACGAAATGAACACGAAGTTGAGCGTAACTCATCATTAAGAAAGATTGCTGATGATGTATTGTTTGTGAAATCCTGCCAGAAATTTTTCATTCTACAAACCCGTTCGGATAATCATTCATTCCTTTGAGGCACTTCAACATCTCAAGTTCCCTTTTGCAACTGTCTCACCTGTAAATTATAACGTAGAATGTAAATCACAATATTAACAATGAACACCCCAGTCTAAAAGTAACAACTGACAACAATAAGAATCACTCGAACCTGCTTATTTAAGTTTCGAATTTGCTCGTGCAGACTCTGTGTCATATCCTGATGTTGCTTTTGTATTTGAACCACTTTTTGCTTACTGTCACGCTCTAACTGCATTAGTTCAGCACTCAATGAAGCTATCTGAAGTTATTGCCACGTAAATTTTGAAAAACATTTCAATCAACCACACTTTTCGCTTGACAATATCTTATGAGCGAAATAATAAGTTCAAGAAATCCGGAATTTCCTGATCAATTTTTGTGGAAAAATAAAAATTCTGACCTTTTTGTCTCGTTCAATAATGTGACGATCTTTTTCGGCACATTTCTTTTGCAGCTCATGAATTTCATTTTTGTACTGCTGGATGACAAGAATATGCTCGGACTGCGCGTGCTCTGTGCCACTATCCATAGCACTAGAACTCTGCAAATATTTCCGATAATTCAAAACTGTTTCATCGTTTGCAATTGATTCGATAACATCACTAATTCCGAACGACAAATTTTTGCAATTCAGCCGAAAAATGAGAACGCTAGAAACCTTCTGAATCTTTTGTTTTTGATCGTTTGAATCCTCAGCTTTACGTTTTTGATGTTGAGAGGATTGTTTGACGTTACTGCTAGACTTGTGGTTGTGATGTGAGTTCGGTGTTCCTTTTGAACCGTTTTTTGCTGACGCTTTATGCGCCATTAAACACATCCGACATAGCAATGGCTTATCCTGAAGTTGAATTCGTTATTGCCAACTGGTTTGTGTCATGTCATTAAGTTGATTTTCAAAAGTTGAGTGCTTAGAATTGATTGAAATGTTGTAATGAATGACGACGAAAAAATGCACCCGTTGCGATGGATCTCTCGGAAATGCAGCTTTCAGCTTGCATTGTGAGCATGATACTGGTGGTCCATTTTTTCGTTCCGCGTAACTGCACCAAACACATTTATTATCGACGAATGCAGCTGGTAGCTGACAATACATGCAGACGGTTGGCTGAAAAAAATCATGTTTTGATTCATCTTAACGAATCATCAATCTTATCAATCGATATATTTTTAAAGTCAATTATGTTTCATACTTAACTGAATTGTAAAATATAAATACTTCTCGTCTATAAAATAATTCAACACGAATTGAAAACAGATCACTAACCTTTCGTTTATATTTTGCCTCATTTTTCTTACATTTTTCACACTGAACTTCTGGCATGGTACCTGCTCTATAATGAAGGAATTCAGTGCTTGGTTGGCTAGTCAGCAAAATAGCTAAGGAGATTGTGCTCAAAACTTACTTTGGATCAGGCAACTCTGAACGACAATAGCAACATCTTTTCATCATCTTGACTGCTGGTGTTCAACGTGAATTGCGGCAGATTTTTGCAATCCTCCGAAACACCTGCCTGAATGCTTCCAACTTTTGAACAATTCACGTGCGCTCAGTCGTTTCAAAAATATTTTCAATCAAAAATAACGGCTAGAAACGCTCAGAGAAGCGATAACGTATGTAAAATTTCTTGACAATAACGTTGAGATTCTTGCGCGACTTGAAACCATACCAATAAGCTCTAAATGAGAGAAGTATTACTCAAATTAGCAAATTAAAAAGATTTTTTAATGTTTGGCGAACATCGCCACGCCGCATTTATTGGCATCATTCCGTAATTCGAAGTCTTCAATGGATGCACAGGCTGTAACACATTTTAGCACATCGTTTTCGTTCTGTAGTCAATATAGTGGTAGGCTGCTTAACTTCGTAAAACAATATCGCAGTGCTACGAATCTAAATTCATTACGCATTATTTTTGTTCCCCGAAGTAGTTCGCTTAGGTTTTGTGTCCCAAAT